ATATGTACTACCTATGGTCTGGATCTAAAGTTTTTTTGCAAGAAAAAACAAGTCTTTTTGGCGGATCTCATTTTTTTCGGGGGGGTTTTAGCTGGTTACTTTGGTCTGTGTATGAATGTTGTGACGTTTTTGCATTTGCATTTTTCTTGGAGTAAGCAAGATGGGGGATGCTAATGAACCGTTTGTTTATTTCGATCAATCAAGTTCTAATTTTGTTTCAGCTGAATCTGTTGAACTTCTTGGCTTACTTTAGTTTACTATTTTCAACCCTTTTTGTCAAATCGAGCCGTCTCAATCATTCTCTCAATAATTTCTCTCCCAACTGACAACCGTTTACCCAATTTTTGGGGTTAGCTTTCACTTCTGTTAAATGGCGCTCATAGATTAAGTTGTAGTTGTGTGCATTCAAATAAATGATCTCTGAAATTTCTGAAAGATAGCATCTGGCCTTCGGAAATCCTTGATTTTTCTCTTCAGGGTTGTTCAAATTTTAACTTGAACCCAAAATGCCTTTAATATTAATGGTTTCTATTATCTGAAAATTAATTGCTTCTGATATTCTTATGTAAAAAGTTGCAGCTAATGTGAAGTCTTGAGGATTTTCTGAAAATCTTTATCAACCCATCTTCCATAGTAAATGGATCCAGAGCCCGAAAAACACGAAGACCCTCCATCGAACTTCCTGTTCCCTGATGAGGCTCTGGAAAAAGTGCTTTCATTCATAGACTCGCGTAAAGACAGGAGCTCAGTCTCCCTCGTCCGCAAAGATTGGTATAACGCTGAGAGATGGACAAGATCAAAGATTTTCATAGGAAACTGCTATTCGGTGTCTCCTGATATTGTGGCTCGAAGATTTCCAAGAATCAAGAGTGTCACGCTTAAGGGGAAGCCTCGATTTTCGGACTTCAATCTGTTGCCGCATGGTTGGGGTGCTAACGTGCATCAATGGGTGGTTATGTTTTCCAAAGTCTACCCTTTTCTGGAGGAGCTAAGGCTTAAGAGGATGAATGTGACTGATGAGAGCTTGGAGCTTTTGGCTAAGTCTTTTCCTAACTTCAAGGCTCTGTCTTTAACGAGCTGTGAAGGGTTCACTGAGAATGGGCTCAAAGCCATTGTTAGTAATTGCAGGTGTGGAGTCAT